GTGAAAGCAGCAAGGGCCTATTTTATTTCGTTATTCAAATTACGTGTTATTTCATGATCACATTAAGTGAGATTGATATTTTTGGGCGTATCAAAGTATGCAATTTTCCCCTGTTCTAACATGAGAATACGGTCACTATTGACTACTGTATTCAATCGATGTGCAATCGTTAATATGGAACGATCACGAAACTTGTCAGCAATCACCTCTTGAATCTTTTTATCAGTGTCATGGTCAACATTTGCTGTAGCTTCATCAATCAGCAATATTTTGCTCTTCTTTAGAATTGCTCGAGCTACACAAATCAATTGACGTTCACCGGCACTCAGATTAGTACCCGATTCGGCGATCGACATATGCAGCCCATCGGGATGATTGCGTACCAATTCCTTCAGTTGAACGGCTTCAAGTGCTGAAAGACATTCGTCATCTGAGTATTGTTCGAATGGATCAATATTGTACCGTAGCGTGCCACAGAAGAGAATGGGTACTTGAGGAATAACACTCAGATGAGAACGAAGATGATTGAGTGAAATTTGTGAAATATCAATTTCGTCAATCAGTATAGCACCATTGATTGCGGACTGATCGACTAGTCGAAAGAGAGCTTGAAGAAGTGATGACTTTCCGGCACCTAAAAAAAGCAGACATAGATAAACACACTTTCTACCGAAGAACAATAACTTCGTTCTATGATTCAGGTATTTTGAGAGAAGACTTAACATTTGAAATACATATCATAAAATATCTTCATAAAATGCTAGAACTTTATGTTACATCAGTTACCGAAGAGATCTTCTTGATAAGAACAAGTGAGATGACTAATGAAATGATTCATTAAAAAAACACAGCTCCAAATTAACCAATCGCTTCAATTAAACGTTTGAAGTCAACTACAGGTAGAATTAGCTTCATATGTCCTGTACTCAAAATTTTAACTGCTGAATCATGTGTCATTACTAATTATTCATCTTTCTTTCATTCATGCGTTGATATTAGAGTGAAATATTTCATAAGATCATATTTCTTATTATTCAGAGGCCATTCCTTAGTTCTGTATGTAACAAAAACAGTTACTAGCTTAGTTCTTGCGATATTAAAATGTGAAACAAGACAGACAACCATAGTGCCATGTTTAGTAGACACCCTCTAGGTTAGAATGCCTTTCTGCTATGACCAATATTGAGAAATAGTTGGAAATTCAACTTTCTCCCCAGATACTTCAGCATTAATTTCCAATATTGCGTTGAAAATATTGACATAGATAATTGTATGAATATTTCAATAATGAACAAAATGTTCTTGAGAAATTAAGAAGTAAATGCATCCATAATTATCTGAATAAAAGTCTTTTCAGTGGGGTCCAGGTTAGATTTACATATGCCACACACATTCTACCATTTTCAGAACTAGAAAGCAAATATCAATGGGGTAAAAATCTGTCTTGTGTAAATGAAAATATATTTAATCGAGCGCACTTCACTGTATCTGTTCATTGAAATATTACCTGAAATCTGTGATCGTTTAGAAGCATTCCCTCAGTTTTTCTTCCGTTGCTGCTACGTTATCAATGCTCACTTCTATTTTTAGTTTGTTTTAGTTATTCATCTCTGTTCTGGCTCTGGGTTCATGCTGGCATCCATTCTGCAGTGATCACTGTCGAAAGATGGAGATGCGCTTTGGAAATTTTCTATGAGTGAAAAGAGCGAGTCTTGTCATTTCACATCAGCGCTGACCTATTTCATTCAGTGATGTTAAGTTGTAGCATGTCTTCTTGTCGTGACATATACGATATTCTGACTCATTACTGATCATTCCTGTCCATGAGTATAGCGATTTGTACGTGGCCAATAGGCAATCTTGATTATTCAAGCTCCTGATAACCTGAAAGAATTAGCTTGTTTTAGAAGCCGCTCAGCATTCACATATTGGTGTTTCCTTCACATGGATTGGAGACTTTACACTGTTTTTCTCTGTAACAGTCTGTGGGAAAGCTCAGAGGTACTACTTTTTCTCGTTATATTCTCCCAGTCTTCATTTTCAAGCAGCCTTCACAAAATCAGTAGAAAACATTACACCACAGTTCTTCATGTGCCGCATTACGTACTACAGCCTTAAGTTATGTCCAGAAAGAATTAAGCACGATCAGCTCCTTGTATTCTTGAAAACGGAGATAGTTAGAATTTCATTCGTTGTGTAAAATGATAGCCACTTGAAAAGACAGATTCCATAAAGTGAAGCTTATTAAAGGTCTCATGTTTTCAATGCGACACACAAAAAAATAATTGGTTCCTTTTCTAGAAAAAATAGGGCATTGCTTACAAATGTTTCTTGTAAGGAGAATCGATGCAGAATCTGAAGCGATTCATATCGAAAGAATTCGGCACTTCCTTGAATCTTCACTAAGACTAAATTGCAGCATACACTATCGTATATTGTCAATAGTGCCTCAGAAAACAGCAGAAAATCGAAGTATATTGTTCTTTCATGAGCTTAACACACCGTGAATAGTTAGGAAATCGTTCTCCATGATCACATTCTTCGATTTTCTTCATAGACAGAGTCATTGTCTTCTGTTTATATTTATTCATTTTCGGCTGCTTTCTAGATGAGAGTTAATCATACCTGTCCGACCGATAACTCCGATCTTTTCTGTGGACTGGATTCGTAGATTTAGATTTTTGAGTACAGGATCGAGCTCTGGTCGATAGCGAAAAGTGTAGTCTTTAAATTCGATAATACCCCGAGATGGCCAATCACTTGTTGGTTGAATTAGAACATTGCTTTTCTGACTGTGTTGATGACTTTCTGGCAGTAGTTGACCATATTCATGAACACGTTCAGCGCTGGTCATGAAATTTTCCGCTTCGGCTGATTGTCGCATAGACCATTGAAAGAGACCCGTTAAAGTGATGCAATAACTGATACTAAGTGCTGCTGCTGATGGATCGATCTGATGACGCAACGCTACAGCTAGAATAGCCGTAACCAAAGTGAGCAAAGATGCTAGCAGATCGAGCCGTAAGCCGAACCAACTCGCCGCACTGAAGAGAATGAAATAAGCTCGTGAATTTTTATCGATTCTTTCGATGAACATATTCAAAAAGTCAACTTGAACGTCAAATGCTCGGATACTTGTGAGTCCATCTAATGACGATGAAAACAAAGAATAAATAGGACTACGTGTGACACCTTCTAGTCGTTTTAGTTGACGACTCGAACGTACATAAAATCGACGAAGCCACAAAACTGTGGGAATCAAAGGCACGAGTATTAGAAGTACCCAGGGATTGGTCCTTCCGATGATTATGATAGAGCCAAAAGTCATCAGTAGATATTGCATTGTATCAGTTAAAGCCAGAGGTAATGATTCATCTAAAACTTGTTGGTCCTTGCTTGCTCGATTCAGTATTCGTCCACTTGGATTACTTTCAAAGAAACGCAAAGAAGTGTACAATATGCCTTTGAGCATTCGATTGTGAAAAAAAGTCGAACCACGCAGCATAATATAAAAGATATAGCCAGCACGTATCAATGCAACGATCAATGTCGCAATGATTGTACCAAGATAGACGTAAGCATAATATGATGAGCGTTGTTTTTTTTCATCTTCTGCAGACCATAGCGCAAGCCAACTATTTGTAAAATCGTACAAAGCCTCACTACCAAGCATAAAGATGATCATAAGAAAAAGGCCAAACCAACTTAAAGGTGGCGAAGTAAATAATTCTAGCCAAATACTCCACTTTACATCACCGTCAACTGACGTCTCACTCTTTACAATCGAATTCTCATCGTTCAGATCCGTGTTAACTACCCAAAGTGTCTCCTTGCCGTGTGATGAGTCAGATTCTGATGAATCATTCGAAGGTTCAATAGTAGGACGTTGTTCAATATTTAATTCATCTAGACGACCGTATGTTAAGAGAATTACTTGATCTGTTTCAACTAAGAAATGTGTCTGGTGCGTAACCAAGATTCGAGTCTTTCCGCGAAGAAGGCTACGAGGACCAATGCATTGATCAAAAATATTTTTTGCCACCTTTGGATCAACGGCTGCCAGTGGATCGTCGAGTAAATACAAGTCAGCATCAGCATAGAGAGCACGAGCGAGTGATATTCGAGCTTTTTGTCCTCCACTTAAATTAACACCTTTGTCACCAATCATCAATAAATCACCAATTTCGCCAAAACCATGCAGATCAATGTCAAGACAACAGGCCTTTATCACATTTTTGTAACGTTCTTCATCCATTGGTTTACCAAGAAGAATATTAGCTCGAATAGTGTCAGCAAATATCCACGCCGATTGCGGAGCGTACGAAATCGAATTAACATAGAGTTTTAAATTGCCACTGATAAGATTCATCTCTCCGAGAATAGCAGCTAGTAGCGCTGACTTGCCAGCACCGATAGCACCTTTCACTCCAACCAGGTTACCACTTCTGATTTTGAGATGGAGAGATACCAAAGAAGGAGTACCTTCCCAGGAAAATGATGCATTCTCCATGATGACTGCATGATTTGCATTTTCGTTTCCCAATGTTTCACGTCTGTTCAATAGCATGTCGAGTTTCATAAATTGATCAATTCTTCTTGCAGACACACGAGCTTCACTGAATTTCTCGATCAACAACGGCATGAAAATTGTCACTGGAACTCGAATCATGGAAAAGAAGGCTAGGGTGGAGAAAATATTTTCTGGAAGCAAAGTTCGGCCCATTAACCAGCTACCACCGAATGTAGCAAGAGATATCAAAGGTAACGTTGAAAAGGAAAGAGCTGTATTAAGTGCTCTCAAGGAGCTCGATTTGTAAATGTTCGATAGTTCATGCCGACGTGTTTCATGAACTCGCTGTTCGATGGCTTTTTCCCAATTGTACATTTTTATGATCTGACATCCGTTGACAATTTCATTGATGATTTGTACGCGCTTGTCAGTACAAGCCATCGTGGCCTTTCGATATCGGCCGAATTGTCTACTGAAAATGAGTTGAATGGGTACTAATGAAATCAGAACTGCATAGCCAAATAATGTCGGTATTCCGATGCTCCACCAAACGAGGCCAAACGTCACAATAGCTTCCAGTGGTACCTGAACTAGAGCATGAACAAAAATGCTTAGTTCTTCAAATTTGCCAGCATCGTTGGCTACTAAATTAATCGCAAGTGCCGCAGTAGTCTTGTGAAGAGCTGCCGTATTGGTGGTCAACAAATGCTTATAGATGGCAGATGACAATGTATTGCGAACTCGCATGCCTATTCGTACATTTCGAAAGAAGATTTGTTGATTAAGCACGGCTTGTATCATTGCAGCAATGGAAAGAGTTATGGCATATAGATAACCGGCATAAGCAGGTGAATCTGATTGACCTTTAATGTAGATAACAAGTTGTCGAATAATCAACGGCTGTGCAATACGAGCCAAAGTAAGTGGAAACACAAGAAATATACTGATTAGAAAATCTTTGTGAAATATTCTCTTGAATACATGCCATGTACCTTCCCATTTCGAACTATAAGCAGTCACTTTGTTCAACAAGACTGAACATTTATCTTTGACAGAAAGATCGTTAAGATCGTCTTCAACAAGCGTACGTTTATTACCCAAAGAGAGAATCGGTGTTATCCACATCAATAGTGGTATCTGTATCCACCTTATCCACGACGATTTAGCCCAATCCAAACGACATTGTGGTCTGTGTGTACCTAGAAAATATTCTTATCGAAATAAAACTGCACTCCATTCTTTAGCTGAACTATCTATGTAGAAATGTGTAATCTCTTTTAATGTAGATTAAATCACCTTAATTCTTTTACTTTACACCAGTAACAAAAGTTCTGCCATCAGATGTCCTTCTATCGCTACTTCATGAAGTGTTTTATGATTTTTATTCAATGAGCAGCTTCACTCGTAAGTGTCAGTGTGTCCTGAAACAATTGAATTGCAAATGAATCATGGAGAAACTCCTTGATTGTAGTGGCGCTCAGGAATTGTAAAATTCTAGTATTCTGTCACTTCCTAATACACGAAATGCATCGAAGTCGTTTCAATGATACATGGGCGGTTATTGTCATACATGCAATTTCTTGAATCTCTTCCTCCTCTTCTATGAATTCAAGTTATATTTCTATAGATTACACATGCATGCTGCCCAAGAATCTCCGAAACATATGTTGAAAACGGAAATTTATTTTGAATCACCTGCCCAAGCTTTTCAAGTTTACAGATAAAATAGAAAAATAGGAACTTCTAATAAAGCAGCTTGAGTCAGAAATAGAATACTTGACAATAACGAGCTCAAGAATATAGACGAAGTTATTTTTCAAAAGATCTCTTTATTTTATACGATTAGCTGTTCCAAGTTAATATGTACAGAGAAAGCTAATGACACTGCACTCTAAAAAATAGACTTTTTTTTACCAAACCACCGAAAAAGGTTCCGCAGATTTGAAAAAGCATTCAGTTGCCTCCAAAATCTTGAAAAACGATTCTTCAGTTCTACGAAACTTTTAAAAGTTCTTCCTGTGTACCCGTGGAATGAACCTTTAAAGGTTTCGTAGAACTGAAGAATCGTTTTTCAAGCCCTTGAAGGCGATAGGATGCTTCTTTAAATCTGCTAAACTTTTTTACGGGGTTTGGTAAAAAGCCTATTTTTTAGAGTACCTATCAAAGTGAAAAACGTGTTCAATACTCAGGAGAATGATTCCGATCGAAATCCAATCGGATTGTACAGGGTTTTTATAAAATCGACGAAATTCTATCAGGATCCAGGAGACGGAATCACTTTCGGATCCCTAGTGTTGAACATTATCGGATCCTACTGTAGGGATTTGACGAAATCCCAAACAAGCTTTCGACCCATCTCTAGTAATGTCATAAGATACTAACTAATATCTAATTAAGAAAATACGGTTCATCCGTCGGATTCGTTTGTAGTTTCCTCTCCCGGAACCCGATCGGACTTTGTCGGTTGATCGGATACGATAAGATCTAGTCGGATCTGGTATCGGATTCATTCACCTGGGTATTACCATATGATGTCTTCTGAGAATATCCCCGGAAACTCAATTATGTCCTAGGGTAAGAGGTATAGAGATAGATAGGTACAGGAGATATAGGAGATATATAGTGTTCCATAAGTCACCCGACATTCGTGTATTGCGAATAACTTTTGATAGGAACAAGATATAAACCTGCGGTTTTCACCATTCGAAACAGCGGTGTTTGGACCATCGATCTATATAATATTTACAACGACGAGAGATACTTTTTCATAGGAGCTTTTCAATTGACTATCTTTTTTTGCGCAGTTACATAAATTTTCACATTACTAACAATTTTACCTAGTACAAACTTCTGTAATTCCACAATACCGGCAACCAATATAACTTGCAATAACTTTCAAAAGCATCCATTCAAAAGTATCTTTATTTTGCCGTCATTCAGCTAATTCATCAGAATTTATTTTCAATAGATTCGAATGACTTTTGCCAATCGATACTGGATCTTCATGTTTATAATAATAATCAATAATTCACATTACAGAGAGCAACGAAATTTGGAAAACATAATCCTTTACTAAGAACATTCGATTTTCCTTTCAATAGACAAAATGAACAACATGCTGATATGCTAATAAACAACAATATCAATTACGATTCTATTCTTAATCATGCATTAATATCTTACACATTAAATAATACAAATCTTTCAATCTTTTCACATAATGCGAATAAATGGTCATTGATTGAACAACATAAAACTGATACCATTGACTTAAATACCTCAAATTATTTTACACGTTCAACTATTTCAACAACATCCGCAATCAAGACTAATGGCGTACAAGGAACATACATGTCACACTTGAAACTTCAATTCACTTATTGAAAATTTGCTTCAACTATTCAACTACTTGCTCAGAAAGGAGTTGGGGCGGGAGATGACTTACATATCTTTAGACACACATATCACACTAGCAGTTGCGTGTGCGGCGCAAGGAGTACGGAGGCGGGGGAGGGGGGGCTACCTACATACCTACACACACATCACGCGAGCAGGTGTCGGTGCGGAGAAGGGAGTAAAGGGAGCGGGGGATACCTAAATACCTAGACACACACATCACGCGAGCAGGTGTGGATGTGGTGAAAGGAGTAAGGAGGCTGGGAGGGGGGGGGCAACCTACATACCTACACACACACATCATCACAGCTGGTGCGGGTGCCGCGAAAGGAGTTCCATCACTGAGGACTAACACACATCTATACACTCACACATCATTGCAGCTGGTGCGGGTGCCACGAAAGAAGTTCCATCACTGTCGACTCACACACATCCATACACATACATCCATACACACACATCCATACACACACATCCATACACACACTTGATCGCAACAGTTGCGGAATCCACCAAAGGAGTTCTGCCACAGTCAACTCACACGCATCTATATACAGATAAATCATCGCAGCTGGTGCGGGGGCCGCGAAAGGAGTTCCATCACCGACGACTCGCACACATCTATACACGCACACACATCCATACACATACACATCATCGCAGCTGGTCCGGGTGCCACAAAAGAAGTTCCGCCACAGTCAACTCACACACATCTATATACACACAAACTATTGCAGCTGGTGCGGCTGCCGCGAAAGGAGTTCCGCACTGTCGACTCACACACGTCATCGGAGCTGGTGCGGGTGCCGCGAAAGGAGTTCCATCACTGTCGACTCACACACATCTATACACACACATATTATCGCAGCTGGTGCGGGTGCGGCGAAAGGAGATCCGCCATAGTCAACTCACACACATCTATATACACATAAATCATCGCAGCTAGTGCGGGGGCCGCGAAAGGAGTTCCATCACTGACGACTCACACACATCCAAACACATACACACATCATCGCAGCTGATGCGGGTTCCGCGAAAGGATTTCCGCCACAGTCAACTCACACATATATACACACAAATCAGCGCAACTGGTGCAGGAGCCGTGAAAGGAGTTCCATCACTGTCCACTCACATACCTCTATACACACACATCATCGCAGTTGGTGCGGGTGCAGCGAAAGGAGTTCCGCCACTGTCGACTCACACACATCATCGCAGCTCGTGCGGATGCGGCGCAATGAGTTCCGCCACTGTCTACTCACACACATCTGTACACAGACATTATCACAGCTGGTGCGGGTGCGGTGAAAGGAGTTCCATCACTGTTGAGTCACACACATCTATACAGACGCACTTCTCTGTCGAAGTTGTAACTTTGATATGACATATACATATACGCACGAGAGGAAAGTCTTTTTGATGCGTAGCTAACATGACTGCTTCCTATCATTTTAACTGAAATTTGCTCTGGAATGTAACAGTACTCCTACATGTATTGCGTGGAATGTCACTTGTGTATCGTTTATCAAAAGGTTTATTGAAGTTCTGGGAAATTGAAATAGATGTTCTGGAAATGGAAAAGTGCGCATGATGTCCATTATGCCCATTATTCTCATTACACCCTGCTCCCAGGAAAGTCAAAAGAAAGAACTTTCTTGGAAACTAATAGAACGCATCAAATCGAGAAATGTGAGAAAAAGTTAGTGTGGTTGTGAAATACCCATTCGTTAGTTTAAAAAAATCACAAAACTTTTAGAACGTTTCATAAGTAAATTTGTATGTCTTGAATGTTTTTAAGAATAAAATATATGCTAATAATAAAAAGGATTAGTCCAATAAAACTGATGAAAAATTCAAACACATAAGCAAAGAGTCTCAATAAAGGGATCATAATTAATTGATCCATTTTAATGGTTCATTAGCAAACAGGTGTACGAGGTGAAAGCACTAATCGTTCACTTGTTTGCGAACATAAGTGCAAAACGTATATTTTATTCTGGAAGTATATTCAACGTTTAATTAACATAGTAGCTTTATCTAATTAATTTTATGTATTTTTTTCCGAATAAATTATGTTGGAAATATGCGCTATTAATTCTATTGCTCTTCAATTTTTTTCTTGTAATATTTCAATAATTTCCATTTTGGAAGAAATGAATATTTATTAGTAAAAATTGTATTTTTTGATCATGTATTCCGCAATAGAATATTGATTTTAATAAATTATTTATTGATAAGTGCATTAAAAATAACTTCGACAGGTTTATACGACGAAGTTGTAACTTCGTCAATATCGATCGACGAAGTTATAACTTCGTCGGCCGGTATCACTTCGATACGACATATATATGACATGCTCTGTGCAAAAAACATGATTTACCAAAATTCTTTGTTTAATATTATTCAAAATACCACTCAGGAGACAATTAATTGCTTACGAGTTCTTTATGCCGCCGCAAAACGAATAGAATAATTGAACTTCCACAATTCAATAATTAAATAATTGTATAGTTGAAGTAGATTTTCAATAATTAAATTCAACTTTCAAGTTTGACACTACTGTTACCTCCTATATCTCCTATACCTCCTATACCTATCTATCTCTATACATCTTACCCTAGGACATAATCGAGTTTCCGGGGATATTCTCCGAAGGCATGTAATCAGTATTACAATAAGTTTCAAGCAAATATAGTTCATCCATTGGAACAGTACGCATGGTATTGGTAATCGACTCATCCCTTGAACGGTACGTACTTTCAGTTGGCGGAGAGACTTCAGATGCAGAAAAAATACGAGTCGACCATTTGACTGCTTCTCCGATATTTACTACGCTTCTTCCAACCATAGTTCGATCACAAGCAGTTGCTGCGAGTAAATGAAGAAAATGGTTTATGATATCTACCTTTATTGCACCAAAAGTTTATTACAGCTATTTTTCATTATCCTCTATTGTTCCTTATCTCATTGTCAACACCCCTAAGCGGATTCAGCTGCTCGAAGTATTCTGATAAATAAAGAATACTATTTTCTTGAGAATATCGAGGTACGTTATACGATACATAAAAGATTCATGTTGCATCGAGCCTAGATGAATTATACGATTGCGATATCACCACAATTCATGTTGGCAATTTCTATGTCATAACTTTGCCAAGTGCAAATATGGCGTGAAAATCAAACGCAAGTTCTCCATTTAAAGATCGCTGCCCACAATGCTATCATATCAACCAATTATCCACTGAAGTGTAGTCGTGGCTGTGGTTGTGAGCATTTCAATAATCCACACTCACATCCTCCTCCATTCTTTGAGATTTCGACGTTATGAGGCAGCAATGAACATCTTCATTGCTCAGGGTGTGGGTGAGGTTTATGTACGGATGAATAGAAGACTCCCAGTCTCACAACCCACCATCCTTATCTGGTGGCATCTTCTTCCAAACAGGTAGAAGTTTCAACCGACATAGTTACCATGTCAGATAGTTACCAAGTCAAATGATTCTATCTCAGTTGAGTACCAAGTCAGATGGTTATTAACTTAGATGGTTACCAACTCTGATGTTAATATATGAGTTAGTTGACAATCTCATTAGTTTTAAACTTTTCAATATAGAATGAATCATGTGTGATCAGCTATTTCTCGGTCAAAAAATGTAGTCGGTCATATAGGAATCGACGAAAATGGGCTAATTAGGTACAGCATACATTTGTAAGTATAAAAATGAAGAGATTTTTGTAAACTAGTGATAAATTAGAGAAAGTTTCGCTATATATTAGTTCAAAAGTCCTTTCATCTTTGAATTTCTTCTAAAAATTTAGAAACAATTTTATTACAAAACAATATTTCATAAATGAATAAAATATATCTTTATGTATAGGGGTTGCTGTGTGCGCTTTTCGAGTATTTCGCATGAGTTTGAGAACGCATTTCTTTTTCAATAAGATCCAAACATATTCTTCGAAACAGGCGCAAAAGAGAACAGAGAATATGTATTCAATTGTTGTTTTTTAATGAACTGTTTCTTCTTAAGAAAACCGTAATTATTGAAATAAGATTTATAGTTGAGTTTGTAACAGATTTGATTGTGAACGAATTCCACTTCTACTTATCAAGTCTCAGCATTAGAAACTGATTTGAACAAGTTTGACTAAAAAATTAATTATCTGTTTTTTTTTTCGTTATTGAGCTATTGAGAAGGTTATACGTAATGTTACCAGTAATCGATTTTATTCATTAGAAAAGCAGTTTCATTTGACATCGTGCTAAGATGTTAGATTAAATCGACTGTATTTCTCTAAGAGAATTGACGAGTAACGATCGTTTGTCTTATTTTTCACAGTGTAGTATCTTTCTCTTTTTCATTCTTCCAAGATGAAATATGTGAGAAAAGGGTATGAGTGTGGATGGGAGTGTCATTGTTGTCTTTACTCATACCCACACCCTCAATGTCCATTTTGATCATTTCATGCACTCTGTTACTAAAGAGATTTCTCACTACTCAACTAGGATTTTTAGGCTTATTGTCTTCTGGCAATGAGAAGATGAGGTAACCTTGAGGAATTTGAACATAGTAAGAATTACACATGCCACTATTGAACGATAATTACTGTGTGGGGTGGGGTGTGGATGTGGGTGGATGTGGAGTGGGGTGTGGGTGTGGGTGTGTGAGTGTGGGTGTGTGAGTGTGGGTGTGGGTGTGGATGTGGGTGTGGATGAGTTTGGATTCAGAAAAGACCATAACCCACACCCACAGCCACAGCGACACCCACCCACACCCACACCTACCCACCCACACCCCCCACCCCCACATCTACACTCACACCCACACCCACACCCCACACCAATACCCCACACCCACATCCCACACACACAACACACCCAATTTTTAACTGTTACTGCTGTTTTAAATATTCAAATAAGTACACTCAATGATATTTTAATTAAATTAGGTAAAAAGGAATTATGTTTAACAGAAAAAAATAAAGAAGTTCTAGATGAATTTGTTATATTATTATGCCTATTTAATGAAGCAACAATTCTCACTCAAGCTGATCAAACAATTGCAATAAGTGTTGTAGGGTCAATCCTTCTTAATTTATTAAATGATCTTGAACTTGAAAGAAAGAAGTCCGAACGTATATACTTATTATGCGATGCTTTAATCTCCTCATTAAAAACACGTTTTGGTGGTTTTTATAAACATTTCTCTATTGAAACAGATAATTGTCCAGTGAAAATAAATATAAATGCCAACACATAGTTCTTATATAGCGATCCATTTTTTTTGATTAGTTCAGTTCTTGATGGACGTTTTAAATTTCAATGGATTAATGATTGCGTTTTATTATCTGATTCAACAAAAAACAACATTATTTCAACTATTAAACAATATATTGTTGATGCATGTATGAAACTTACTTCGAAAGAGAATATTATTAATGCTGATGTTCAAATCATAACTGAAGAAAATGGTAGTAATAAAACAACTACAATATTTTCTGATAAAGAAAATAAAAAACGTTTATTTCCAAGCTTACAAATGGGTTCATTCAAAAGAGCAAAACTTGATAATTCAAAACCAAAATCAGTCGTAGAAGAACTTGATTGCCTTCTGAAGGAAGATAACATGACCAAAAATCTTATTTTTAAAAAAGTTGATTCATATCAATCTCTTAATAAGTTGGCTAATAAAATTATGTGTTCCTGCTACATCAGCACCAATTGAACGTGTCTTTTCTCAAAGTGGTCTTTTAATGAGACCCCATCGTTCAAGATTTTCTCAAGGTAATATTTGTATATTATAACATCTTTAAAGTGCAATAAGACATTAATTTAAATATCAATATATCTTTCTTGCTTGTAAATTGATTTTTGTTTTTTTTCTTTATAAAAAAATATATTTTTTTATTTTTGTGTTAATCTTCATAGAATGGGAAGAGTCGATTGTGGTGTTCTTATTTTGTTAATAATTCTGTAGTAGTTATATCATTTTAGATAATTCAAATAAAATAAATAAGTGAGTGGCGAAAATTTTTATTCAATCAATTTTTCCTTTATTTCTAGATTTCGACGTTTCGAACTATGAAATGTTCATTTTCAAGACATAACCGAGTACCATAGATGTATGACGAGTACATGCACGACCATTATTTGAAGTATTTTTGAAGTATTTTTGAAGCTCTTTTACACGATGACAATCATTTTATTTGCTTTTGTATTTTTTGTAAATATAGAGAGCCTTGATGTATTTTGTAATAAATAGAGAAATATTGATGGAGAATATTTTAAATGAATTGGAATCATTTATTTTATTTTAAATGTATTATTCTTTTTTTTTGATATTTCGATTCGATTGTATGAAAGAAAAAAAAATAATCTGTAAAAGGAAATTACAATTTGGATGATGTAAAAAAAAAAGTATGGCATGAAAATGAAAAAAAGTCGGACACATGCAGATTGAAAGTGAAGACAAAAAAAGGAGTGTTTTTTAATATAGTGTGAAGCAGGTGTTTGTAGGATTAGCTATTGAATTATAGAGTATCAGCTATGATTGAGAGAGATTTTAGTTGTTCCGAAGTTGTCTTTGGAGCTGATGCTATTGATGTTGATGTATGGTGTTGGTGTTTGTTTTGCTGCTCTTCTCGCTGCTGCTGCTGTTGATACTGCTGATGGTGTAGATATTGCGGCTGTTGTATGTATTGCTGCTGCTGTGTATATTTCTGTTGCTCTTGCTGTTGTTGTATTTGAGTAAGAACAGGTCCAAATAGAAAGGCGAATAGTTTGTCGCGTATAGAAACCTCGACACGGCAAGCGAATACATATATCAGTATGATGACAACTAAACTGATGCAAAAGATATCGACCCAATCTCTCCAACTAGTTAATGATGATGCCGTGCGTGATTGTTTGTAAAGTGCCTGCATAGGAATAGTTTCATTTATTGAATTATTGAATAAATATTGGATCATGGTTCGATGATCATTAACTGTGGTTTGTATAGCCTTGATATCAAGATTTCCTGCATCAATTTGACGTCTTGTAGGAACATTATTGTTATTAATTTTATTCGATTTCTGCAATGATGGACAGGTATTTCTTGCTAGTAATGCAGCGACTTCGTTATATGTATTAAAACTTTGCCATTGTTGATTTATTGCAGATGGAGCATTACTATTATTATGATAGTGAATTAATAAACCATGTGCTGGTAAAGAATGGCATAAACGAACACCGAGATAATATTGAAACAAAAAAAAAAATAATAATGATAATAATTCATTATTTGTATTTTTTCTTAGATCTGAAATTATACAAGAAATATATAGACTGAACAGAAGCATAAGAAGAAATATTTACCAGGTGAATGTTGTTTTATTGACGATTGAAATGGATAAGTGTATGTACACAATAAAAAATGGAACGTATCTAAATTAGATATCAATTTTATTGTAATGAAAAGTAAAATATAAAAGAAAAAAAGATTGTATACGATGGGATATATATGATCAAGTACAGTTTATGATTCTGTCAAGCAGGTGACCATCAGTTGTATATCGTCACTCGTGCTTTTTTTAAATTTTCCTCACTTCTCGAGCTGACGAAGAGAGACAAAAAAAAGATGGAAGAAGATCAGTTGAAGATAGAATAAAATGACGAAAGAGGCAGAAAAGAGGAAATTTTGTTACAGCATACTTCTTGCCGAGTAGCAGTGCATTATCGGATAAACGTGTTATAATTTCACGAGGGAACAAAGCAAATAACATATTTTCATTCTTTCTCACAGTTATTTTCATGAAATGCGAAGCCAAAACGACGTGCTAGAATTTTAGTATGCATACCAAAAACAAAAAACATGCTTTTATTCATATGAATGGAAATTTTGTGGAGAAATTTCATAAAAACAAAAAATTTTATTAATAATCACCGTTTCGATCAACTAATTGATGATTTTCAAGAAAAACAGCCTTGTACTGCAAATGTATCACAAGTACTACCTAGTCCTAATCTAATAATAATTGAAGCCCGAAATCACGAGAATTAATTAAATAAACTAAATTTAATGTAAAAGACAGTATATTCATATAAACATATATTTGCTGGAGAAATGTTTTTTAAAACAAAGATTTTATTACTAATCGATGTTTCGATCAACTCAGTGAATAATATGGAGAGTGTTGGATCCCAGCTACTTTTTTTTTGTTGCGGAATTCCATGATGTTACTCTCGTGAGTAATGTATTACGAATAGGTTTATTTGATGTATAGTTTAGTGATTTTCTCGTAATTTTTAAGCGGTGCAATAGGAGTAGTTCAACATATTATCAGGGTTATGTTTGCCTGGTGTGTTTTCGAGTTTCTAATATATATGTTGATCATTTCTTTGTTCGTCTTTTTGTGGATTTTTTCTTTTTCTTTTTTTTTTTTATCGGTAGTCGATTCTCGTTCATCTGTCCATTCTTGATGGAGTGGTACATTTTTCTCTTTTTTTTCCACATGACAGATATTGTTTTATCGCATGTTGCCTGTTATGTTCTCTTTTCGTTCTCTAGTGTTATTCTCTTTCTCTTTTTACTGTTCTGTTTATCATCATATCGCACGTTGTTCTGTTTTAATTTGGTGGTAAATCATTTTAAATAAAATACTATGTTTTTCAAGGCGATTTTACTCTGTAAGCACTTGCTTAAATTTTTACCATTATCAGCTGCGAATGTCTACAATTATCTGTGGCGGCACTATGGTCTAAATACTAGTAAACTTTTTGGTCAGTTTGTAAAAGAACAACTTCGAATACGCAGGTTAAAAAGTGCTATTGCATTTATTCTCACATGTAAGAATGAAAATTTAATACCTATTTTTGCTCGTGTTCGTTTGGCAAATCCGTATATAGCCGATGCTAAGCTAAGGCAAAAGTGCGCTCGTAATATTTTGCAAGCTGAAATGAAGTTCAAACAGCATCTTTTGAGTCGAACTACAAAATATTTGAGACGACTGGACACCGAATTAAAACAAAGTGTCTCTCATATTATTTATATTCGTTTACAATCTATTTCACAAGAAATTCTTAAAGAAAAGATGGACGAGATTGAAAGAACACACGAGACAAAACTCAATGGTTTACGTGAAAAAAAACAAAGACGTGCTCCACAACGACAGATTCTTGACCCGGTAACAAATCGTCCACGTGAGATTGTCGATCCGGTGACAAATCTTCCGCAGGAGATGGGTGATCCGGTGACAAATCTTTCAAAATACAACTTAACCGATAGCGAGCATGATGCTCTAGTTAATGGATTACATCATGTATATCCACCTGAAAAACTCGATCAACCACAGTTCGTATGTAATATGTAATATTTTTATGCCCGTCTTTTAAATGTACGAACTTCTTATCGGCATTACGAACAGAAACCATCTACTGAAGCTGTTCGTCACCAATTAACATCAGTACAATTGAGTGCTGCATCTGAATTGCGTGAGACAGCGAATTCTTTTCGAAAAGTTGCTCAATCTGAACTGAAGAAAATTGGTGCCGAACATCGTAAAACTTTTAGTACTCTTCGTTCTCTCGCTAAAAATAAATCGATCATTATTACTCGACCTGACAAGGGATGTGGCGTGGTTATCATGAATCGTGCAGATTATGTACAAAAAATGAATGCAATACTCGATGATCGATCTGCTTTTACCTTAATCAATCACGATCCAACCTTAGATACTGAAAATGAACTAATTAAGTTTCTGCTTGTCTTAAAAAAAGAAGGTTTTATTAGTGATCAGGAACACAAGTTGGCATCTCTCAGTGGGTCAAGACCAGCTCGAATATACGGTGTACCTAAATTACATAAGAAACGAGAGAACTATCCGCTTCGACCTGTAATGTCAGCTACAAAAACAGTAGCTTACGGACTCGGTAAAATGTTGGCTAATCGATTGAATACACTTCGTACAAGCCCGTATATGATCAAAGATAGATATGATTTTGTTCGAAAAATCAGAAAATTAGAACTTGGGGATAAAAAAATTATCTCTTTTGATGTTACGACACTGTTTACTAAAGTTCCACTGACCTATACTATTGACTTGATACTTGATAAAATGTACCCTACGTGTTCTTCCATATATGTAAATATAAACAAAGAAGTCGTCTTTGTGGGAAGTGCAGGAGTAGATCCGATTTTCAACATCTTCTTCGATTAGCTACATCAAAAACTCACTTCATTTTCGATAAAAAAATGTACGTTCAACATAACGGTGTTGCAATGGGTGCTCCTCTGGCTTCAATAATTGCCAACATTTTTATGTCACATCTAGAGGAAAGTTTGATGGACCACTTGAAGCAAATTGGTGTTTGTGAGTGGTATCGATATGTCCACGATACATTTGTACTTGTTGAACCTACAACAAAAGTAGAAAATGTACTCGAAATTTTAAATAATTTTCATCCATCTGTCACTTTCACTCATCAACTAGAAACAAATGGCTCTCTTCCTTTTCTCGATATATGGGTTACCCGGTCATCTGAAACCAAGAAATTTCAAACAGATGTCTATCGAAAAGAAACATACACTGGTCTAATGATAAAATGGAATTCCTTTGTACCTGTAACTTATAAAAAGGGGAGCATTGTAACAATGATACACAGAGCTCTAGCTATATGTTCTACATACTCGTCATTAGCCACTGAATTCGAGAACATTCGTCAAATCGGTCTCCATAATGGTTATCCATTATCGTTTCTGGATACTTGAATAGGCATCGGATTAAGTAAATACTTGAAGAGATCTGCTACACCCGGTATCACGGTTGTCGGATGCGAAAAAAAAAGATGCATCTTGAAATTCCTTATACTGGTGCAGCTACCGATTCATTTAAAAAGAAATTATCTCGAATCGCTGGAAAAATTCGTTCCGATCTTGATGTTCGCTTTTTCGCCAGACCTCCTTCATCCGTTCAAATATTTTTTAACACAAAGGACACAATACCAAAATACTTGCAATCCGACATCGTTTATTCCGTTAAGTGTAGCGACTGTGGCGATATATATGTCGGTGAAACGGAGAGGCAACCAATAAGACAACTATGGGAACATGGAGCACCTAAATCGCTGTTCCAAGAACAATTAATTTACCTTGATCAAAGAATCACTATAAACCACGAAGAAGAAGATACTAATGAACCATCACCTATTGAACCAACTCAAACGAAAAGTCATTATCTAAAGAAAACGACAAGAATCAGACCCACACCCTATCCGAATCCACATACGTTAAGATACCCTAACAGCATTCGCCAGAAAAATCAAACATCAAACAGTCCAAAAACCAACATCCACCTACAAAAAAAACAAACCGACAATGTAAACCAAAACAACGAAAACAAAACAAAAATCAATGAAAGCTCAATCTCTCGCCTTCAAAAACAAACCGGACACTACATGGATTGGGAACACTTCAAAGTCGTATGGAAAGATACCAACAGCTACAAATTACGAGTCAAAGAATCTTTAGTAATCAAAGCATACGGACCAAAATTAAATCAAACTACACACTCGGTCCCCATGCTCGTTTTTCCCGAAGGTCTACCTGCCGATATAATCCCAGACCCAAATTTCACAACTTAACAGTTCCACAATAATACATTAAAAACAATTTCATTTATTTTACTCACCTATAAATGTCGTGTCCATAAGCTAAAATACTAAAAAAACCAGCTGGTCGCACTCGTCATACATCTACGGTACTCGGTTATGTCTTGAAAATGAACATTTAATAGTTCGAAACGTCGAAATCTAGAAATAAAGGAAAAATTGATTGAATAAAAATTTTCGCCACTCACTTATTTATTTTATTTGAATTATCTATTAACGCTCTCTATCATATGAATTATTTTCATTTATTTATTGAAAATTATATCATTTTATCTTGTATAGATTTGTTCTTTTTTGTATTAAAATTAAGAAACGGATGATGTATCTTCAAACTTTTTGCTAACAACTTTTATCGAAATAAATGGAAAGTGAAAACAATCGAACAAAAAATGTTTGACTTGATTCGACTCGGAAACACCGATGACTTGACTTGACTCGACTCGAAAGTATTTCGAAATGACTCGAACTCGACTTGACTCGAGAAATCGCTTGACTCGCCCATCCCTGTGTAAGGTTTCCTATCTTGAGACAATCGTTGTACACACATGATAGACGGAACTATTTTATGACATTATTTGCAAAAATTCAGCCTCCTCTATCAATCTTAATACAATCAAAACCAATATTGAATGTAGGAATTTCTTATTTCATATTTTTCATTTCTTCTCATTGTTTATGCCAATACACATGACTTTCAAAATTATAGAAAACAGATTGTTACTAAGAGAATAAAAAAATAAGAACTTTTCTTTTTCTTTTGACATCGATGCCTTGGTATCTTGGCTTAGATTGATAATAAGAAATGTTTGAAAGTGAGAGAATACTAGAAAGTCATGTTTAAAGGTAAGGAATACAAAAAAAAGACTAACAGTTAGATAGATCGATAATGAATGAGATCAAATAGAGTTTATACAAACCAATTGCAAAGTAATGATCAAACAATCAGTGTATCACACATTTACTAGTGTATGTGACTATGATATTATATATTTAATACATATTTCTATTTTTCTCTGCAAAAAATAATATCTCTTTATCTTTTATTGATCACGATGAATATTAGATTTATATATCCTTTGCAAAATTTATAGTATCATATATTTCATCTTAACAATGTTTTTTTTCTCTCCACATTCTACACTAAAAACACGTGCATAGGGTATTAGCAACTTTTTTTTTTCAACGCATAATATGTTGTCACTTTCTATCCATGAGCATGTTTCATTAACGGATAATGGAGTTAGTGAAGTGAGACATAATGTTTTGTCGTTTTGATCGATCATTTGATAGAAAATATTTTAAAATAACTTCTCAGTGACGAAGAAAGAAGTGATCAACATATGTGAATAAGGTATGGCTCACCAACAAAAAATAGTTCGTTTCATTGAAAATTTTATTCTTATTTGGGTGGACTCAAAACTTCGCTGTAGAAATAGGACAGATAATGATATTCAAGCTTCAATCACAGCTCTTCGTCATATTGTTAATGCAATCACAATATTTCATACATGTGATGCATGTATCGAGTTTATTAACAACAAAGTTAAAGAAGAAAAGATTTTTTTGATTGTTTCGGGCTCATTGGCTCAACGACTAGTACCTCAAATTGAACATGACATTAAACTCGATTCGATTTATGTATTTTGTTTGAACAAATCCAAACATGAACAATGGGCGAGAAACGAATACCATCGTAAGATCAAGGGTATCTATACAAATATTCGAGATATTTGTGATCAACTCAAAGAAGACATAAAGCAGTGTGACTACGAGTCGACTTCTATTCAGATACTTGGTTCACAATCATTGAAGAATTTTAATCATCTCGATGCATCATTCATGTATTCCCAATTACTTAAAGAAATTTTACTCAGTATGGAACATGATAATGCTAGTCTTGAACAAGCTAAAAAAGATTTGGTTGATTTTTGTCGAATCCACTATGCCGGAAATACTACAGAATTATGTATAATCGAAGAATTCAAACAAAATTACAGTTACACATCAGCCATTTGGTGGTACACACGTGAATGTTTTACTTATTCAACGTTGAATCGAGCTTTGGGCTTACAAGATGTAGAGATATTGATGAAGATGAGCTTCTTCATTTGTGATGTTCATCGACAACTCGAACATTTTCATAAGACAATGAAGAACCATCAGATATTGACTGTATATCGAGGTCAAGGGTAAGTGATTGTACATTATCTACTCTATCATTATTCAGAATTCGTTCTCCCTACAACGAAGATATTTCGATAATAACCGATAGTTTTAGAGAAAAAAAGCGTCAGAAACCTTCAATGTGGAACTGTGAATGAGTGCAAAGCGCGGTCTAACATTGAAAAAAGAATTATTTTGCTTTTTCTGTTCAAATTGCGAGAGCTCGAAAAGAGGAAACACTAACGATAAATTATTTTTGTACACATTGAGCAAGAACAGCTTACGTATTAATAATGGATTAAATGTCTCTTGAATCTAAGTAGAATGTTGTATACGGCATTTCATCGAATGAAAAAAAATCAAGGTGGTCTTATTTCGTTCAACAATTTTTTGTCGACAAGTACATCAAAAGAAGTTGCACTATGTTTTGCTCAAAATGCTCTAAAGAAATCGGAAAAAGTGGCTATTCTATTTGAAATGACTATTGATCCATCGATATCATCAGTACCATTTACATCACTTGATAAACTCAGCTATTTTCAAGAGAAAGAAAAAGAAATACTCTTTTCAATGCACACTGTCTTTCGTATCGGTGAAATAAAACCATTGGATGATAATAATGACAATTCACGATTTTGGCATGTTTATTTAACATAGACTGATGCCGATGATAAACAACTTCGTCAATTGACAGAACATATGCGTATGGATCTCAGCTCTTTCATTTCCGTGGATCTTCAAATTAACATGGATCCGACATGGAGATTGAGTAAGTTACTTCTTAATATGGGTGAATATGACAAGGCAATTATCATATATGAAATGCTGCTTGACAAAGCTACACGCGACAATAATTTGAATCTCATACAAGCCACACATTATCAGCTGGCCGAATTGTTTATGTTACACAAGAACGATTGGAATCGAGCAAGAGTACATTTAAAGATGACGTTTTGTATAAAATTACCCGATGGTAATGACGTTGCTGATGAAGTCAAAAATGACATTATCGTTGTGTATTCGACAATTAAAAATGTGCTTTTAAACGAACAAATTACTGAGGATGAGTTTCATTCGATCATGGTCGAACTACTGAATAAGTTGGTCACATTATATCTTGATAACTCCACAAAGCCATTGGGTCCACTTAATTATCAAATGGTAGTGGATCGTTACAATTATATTGGTTGGGTACGAAAAAAGCAGGGAAAAATATCAGAAGCATGGACTAGTCATGAGCAAGCCATGCAAATATTACAGAAATATTTACCTCCTACTCATCCTCGCTTAGCAGTAACATATAATTACATCAGTTTGCTCTATTCGGCAATGAACGATCATTCTAGTGCACTTGATTGTCTCGAAAAAGCACTTCATATTCAAGAACAGGCACTGCAGCCAAATCATCCACATCTAGCTGAAACTCATTTTAATATATCAATTATTTTCGAACGTTTAAACAAAGTCGATGATGCTTTTCAACATGCAAAGAAAGCCATTGATATTGGAAATCAAGCATTTTTGACATCCGACGATCCTCAGATGAAAATGTATCAAGAGCAATTCGACAAAATTCTTCTGCTCACTCAATCATGTAATGAACTTGTTCTTTGAAAACTGGCAGATGCTCTTATATCGCGACTATTTACTTACTTAACTATTAGCTAGTGATGAATTTAGATTATCGCTCATTTCTAAA